CAGGGTAGCATCTTCTCTTAGCTTTTAGCTGGGTGCACACCTTCTCCTATCCCATGCCTTTTGGGGCATGGTGGGAAGATCCCAGCTGGGGAGCTGGACATGGTTTCATTCTCCTCTGTCTCTCCTATGTTCATGCACTTGTTGTCTTGTTTTTTCCCCCCTTTCTTTTCTCTCTCTTGCCCTTTTTCTCAGTTTTCTTCTCTGTCTCTGTAACCCATCCACCCTTCACTCCCTTCCTCCCCTCTCCCCAGCAGAGCCTGCTGCGGGACAGATTGCCTTCCTCCCCTGTCACTTCAGATGAAATGGTTGTTAAGAGGAGGGAGGAGGGTTACAGCCAAACTGTTCCCGTGAGACTCTGGCCATTTCAGTGGCTATACAATAAGCTGCTTGAGAGAGTGATGCCTTCAGCCTGGGACTCTGGGAGTCCAGCAGGCACATCTCCTCTTTCTGAGCGGTTTTGCTGCTGTTGCTATGGATGCTCAGGCTCTGGAATGAAAGCAGCAAAGGCCTGTAAGTAAATGAAGATGCCAGGACTCCTTCCTTGTCACTTCTTTTCACTGCTATCCAGGAACCTCACTTGCCAAGACCCTAATTGGGCCCGGCTTTGGTAGCGTAGCAGCTTTCTCCACAAGGGAAATCACCACAGGTGTATTTAATTGGTGGTGGCTGCTCTTGAAGTGGCACGGACAAGAGACAAAGGAGAAAAACCACTGCTTTCTGGGATGTAGACCTTTCCCAGGACATTTTTGGGCTGGTTTCTGCACTCTCAGGAGCCAGACCCTGGAACCAACAATTGGAATGTCTGAGCCAAGAATAAATGTAATGGAAACTGGCAGAGGAGAAATTTGGGAACTGCAGATATCTCACCCTTAGTGCCAGTTTTTGGGGCCACGTATTTCTCCTTAGGTACAAGAGTGCAGGGAAGCCCCTGAAACTCTGGCTGTCCTCGCAATAGCTGGTCAAACCATGTTGGAAGCCCATTTAGGGTACAAGGCCTGCTTACTGCTGCTGTTGCTGTATCCAGCTTGGCTTTGCTCTAATTCAGGCAAGAGCTGGAGGCCTAATCCTGGAAATATAGTGATTCAATGGGATCTGGGGAGTTGCTCAGGAAGTCCCAGGCAGTGCACTGGACCTTGCAGGACTGGGTCTATAGGAGTGGAGACCGGATGGGGCAGAGAAGGAGAGAAGAATGGATGTCACCAAAGTGAACTGAAAAATCCTTTCCACCGACAGCCACATTTCTCTGTAATCAGATTCTAACCTGGAAAAGGGGTCTCCCCCCACAAACACATCCAGCTCTTAACAGTGCTGCCACTAAAAGCTCCTTGACTCAGTGACCAGCTCACAAGGGACTGTCCAAGACTGTTTACCAGCACGGCGCTTGCTGACCCATATCAGACTCTGAGTCACTCTGCCCTGGACCAAGCCAGCTCAAGCACAAACACCTTTATTGTACATGGGACAACATCTTCAATGTAGCACTCTCTGAGAGCCAGATACCAGCAGCATGAAGCACACAGGAAGCCTGGGGCTCCCACAACCCACTGACACTTCCAGCTCAAGGCTTCACAGATAGACAGACAACTATGCACATATGCACGATTGCGATGTAGACTGGGAACTCTGGGGAAAGATTTGAAATTTGAACCTTGTCTGTCTTTGTCCTTTGAGAGGTCTGTGCTGTACGGCCAGAGTGGCGTGGAAAATACCTGACCCTGCCAGGTGAGAGAGTCTCTACAGCAAGGCGAGGAGCAAACATTGTATTTGTTCCAGGACAAGTTGTGCCTGTGTTTATCCCAGAACAGAAATGTCCTGGGATCAGTTGTACATACATCGCATTTCCAGTCAGGGTTTAGCGAGCGGCTGAATGCACTGCTGTTTTTTCTGCCATTGATTCAGTGATGCAGTCTTGGGGCAACTGTTCAGATGCACTTCATGATGTCCCTGGATAACGTGTTAGCACTTCTTATCCCATGAACCTTTTTAGGGTTTGTCCCGGGACAATAGTCATAGACATGTGACCTATTGCACTTTGTTCTGGAATAAAATGGTTTCTTCCAGAACAAATGCAATGTTTAGGTGTAGCCTAACTCACATGTGTAGCAACTCTGCTTATTGGAGTCCTGGGAATTCCCTGTCTTTCTGACTTGTACCACCCACTGTTTCTACTCATTGCTGCTGCTACTCTCCATCTCTGGATGCATGGATATAGCTTCAATCAGAGATTGACTGTACCCATTACTAATCACAGCCAGTCAGAAGCAGTCTCAGTCTTGCCTATATCCCATGGAGATGCACAAGGGGATCTAATAGCTCTCTTCCAATTCTAGCATGTGTTTCAGCTGTTTGCTTGGGGCCCACACACGTGTGACCCTTCAACTCCCTCCCTGGCAGAGGATCTGGCAGGGATGAAACTCAGACTCCTCTAACTTTAGAAACAAGACTGGGAAAAGAAACCACTTGTGACTTGATTTCTTGAATTCTCTAGATCCAGTCTCAATAAAGGGAGGGCTATTGAACATGACAGGTCATATCTGTCTCAGAGACTCAGCCCCCTACCTCCACAATAGCCCCAGCCCCTGACAATCAGGAAGCAAGGAGCAGTTTGATAACTGAGCTCCAGGTTCATCCCATCAGAAAATGAATTTGAATCAAGCTACACAACCCCTGCCACCAAAAGACTTATTACAAGCCTTCCTTACTGGGCTAGAGGAAGAGACAGGACCTTGGCACCCATCTCAAGGAGAACATTTTCTTAACAAAATCCTTGCCCCTTACCTAATTTCTGTTGTTATACCCTCAAGGAAGTGATTGATCAAAGACCAAGTAGCTGCAATAAAATACTTGCTAGGATCTGGATGAGAGAGTTGAAAATGTCATGCAGCCAAAAAGCATCTATTACAGTTCACCTGTCTCCATATCCACCGGTCTGGATTTATCCTCCAGAGACAAAGACCTCTGTCTCAGTACTAGAGAATACAGCTCTGGCACGGGGGGGTGTATGCACACTTTCAGTGGTGTATGGAGGTAGATCAGCGGTTCTCAAACTCTTTAGGTTACATACAGCTTTTTAAGTTCATTGTACAGCTGCGTATGTACCCCTGTGGATAAAAACAAACGTAACACTTTATGTTTAGTCCAGTCACACTGTCCTTCCATTGTTCTTTTCTTTCTTTTCCTCCCCTTATATTTCTCCTTTCCCTTTTCTGCTTTGCTATTACTTGCCACCTAGAATTTGATTGCGTACGCTAATTTGAGAAACACTGAGGTAGAGGAATAGTTGTGTATGTGTAGGAGTGTATAGGTGTGCTCAAGTGTAGGTGAGTGTATGTGTAGTTTAATGCATGTAGTGTACATTAAACAAGCATGCCTCTAAAAATGTGAAAATGTGTGGTGTATAGGGAATGATTATGGTTGTATGGGTGACACAGTGCAACTATATAGCTCTATCAGGGTGCGTATGAGTGCCTTCACCAAGGGTTGTTGCTGCATGGATTAGTATAGAGCAGGGATGGGCAATTATTTCAGGCGGAGGGCCGCTTACTGAGTTTTGGCAAACCATCGAGGGCCGCATGACAGGCAGCCAGGGGCAGATAAATATTAATTTTCTGAATTTTTTAGGGGCGCCGCAGGCTGGATAGAATGGGCTGGCAGGTTGCATCCAGCCCGCAGGCTGCATTTTGCCCACCCCTGGTCTAGAGCTTTGAGCATGTGGATGAGTTCCTATGCATCATATGCCATGTGGTTTGAGCACTACTTTTACATACAGTTAATCTACAACAGTTGATTTCTCCTTGTTTAACAAGCTACTTAACAATTCCCGATTCTGTCTCCTAGGAAGACTCCACAGTCCATCAGTGTAATCCCCAGCAGTGAGCTGATCCACGCTGTCTCTTCACCAGTCCTTCTAAGAAGTGGAGTTACCTCAAAGTCTCTGTGCTTGCAAGATGCAGACCCTTTTGTTCTATTTGATAGTATTATTTTCAGGAAGTCACAAAAGCAGCTGTTTCCTCACAGCTCCCTTCTCCCATCACCTTGCCTTGCAGTCCTCTGTATCTGTGCACACCAATTATTTTTTGGAGGAACCCTTAAAAAACTGCCTAGGTAATGTTCTCTGATGGCTGGGCAGACAGAGGGGCACAGATGGAGCAGCAGGAGGACTTAGCAGGGAAACAGGCTTAATGGCACAAGTATCAATAGATCTGAAATAAGGAGCAGCAGCTTTGAGGAACTACCTGAAATCCCTTGAAGCAATACAATCAGTACCTGCCAGAGGACCTGATTTTGCGAACAAATATATACAGACAGTTTCTGGCGGTCCCCAGCATCCAACTCATGAATATTTGTAGGTTGCCCATGCAAAACAGCTCTTTGGAAGCAGGTGGGACTTGGCCAAAAATCCAGCAGATCTTGGCAAGACAGCTGACTGCAGAAGTTTCCTTACTAACGTTTGTGGGTTTGGTTCTCAGGCACTTTGGAGGCTGTTGTGCTGAGCAGAACCTACTCTGCTTGCTTCTAGTATTTAAGCGCAGGTCTCAGAAAGTTTTTCTTGTTAAAATACTTCTTTTTAAAAGCTTCCAGTTTTAAAGGCAGAATATCTGTATCACTTTGTGCCCAGAAAAAATGGGTGAGCAAGAAGAAACCATTTGCATGCACCTTGCTAATGGCTGGCATAGGGCTTACACTTCAGTGCCAACCAATGCCCTTCTGAAACAGCCACTCATTTTGTGTTTTCTCTCTCTCCCTTTCTTCCCACTGTGGGAACCTAGTGTTTTGTATGAGATAGAAATAAGTTCCTAATACCTGTCAGTGGAGCTAAGCAGCGGTATACAGCAACTCTTAGATCTAAGGTAAGCTGAGAGCAGAGCCCTACAATGAGAGAGGACAAGATTGATTCTGTCTGAAATGGAAGTGTGTCACCAGACACTGCTGCTTCTCCATGTTTTGTGGTATTCTCAGAAAAGAAGCCAAGACCTTCCAGGGGTGTGACCACGTGGTTACTAGTGAACAGCGACTGTCACAGGCAGTGAGTGTGGGGAAAAGTCCTCCAGAAACTGAGTCTGCTGAGTGGATTCTGGTGCAAGTTTCAAGCACACGCTGGCCTCTGTCGTGCTGTTGTTGTTGATGGAACTGCTGTTGCGGACCTGCTCCTTGGCAGGACGAATGGCCACCATGAACTGGTGCTTGAAGGTCTCACTCAGGGCTATGTAGAGGAAAGGGTTGAGGCAGCTGTTGGCATAGCCCAAACTTATGGCAAAGTTGTAGGCGTAGAAGAAGGCAATGGAAGGTGTGTCGATGCCCAGGTGCACTAGCTGCAGGATGTAGAAGGGGGCCCAGCAAATGAAAAAGGCAGAGCAGATGGCAACAGCCATGCGGGTGACTTTCTTGGTACGTACCTGGAGGCTCCTCTGGGGCAGGGGGACCACGGTGGTAGCCATGTGCTGGAGGATCTTAAAATAAACCACACAGATGACAATCAATGGGATGGCAAAGGCCAGCATGAACTGGTAGAGGGTGAACCAGTAGATATCAGTCTCGGGGTTGGGAAGGAGGAGAGCACAGCGGACGGTCCCATCGTCCAGAGGCATCAGGCCCGTGTACATCCACACGGGAATGATTGTGAGGAAGGATAGGAGCCACACCAAACAGATGACTAAGGCTGCTACACAGGGTGTTCGGACATAGGTGGATTTCAGAGGGTAGACAGTTGCCAGGTAACGGTCAAGGGTCATTACTGTCAGGATGTTGGTGCTGGTGATTTGACTGTTAGTGTCCAAAGCAGTGATGATGGTGCACAGAGGAGCTCCAAAGTACCAGGAGCCATTGCCGAGGAGCTGGTGGATGAGGAAGGGCATGCCCAGCAGGAAGAGCAGGTCCACGATGGAGAGGTTGAAGATAAAGATGTCAGGCACGGTCTGTTTGCACCTCAGCTTCTTCTTCTTGACGATGGTGTAGATGACAATGAGGTTCCCAACAATGCCCAGGAAGCAGATGATGCTGAACAGGCTGGGCATGATCACATTGGTATAAGGGGCTGGCCTCTCTGCCACTGATAAAACAAACCAAACAAATGAGTGCTACCATAATAACCTATGTTTCATACCCCAACCAACTCGTATCACTTCATAGATGCATCCTGCTCGTGAGGTGCAGTTCAGAAGCATGTCTAGGAGTCCTAAACTGCCCATATGGAGACTTAGGGATCACTGACAACTCTTCCTGCTCCAGCCTGTGAACCTGGCACTGCAGCTTAACCTCAGATAAAATTCACGCCACATTGCAGTGCCATCCTCTCTTTACGAACCCTGCTAAGTGACCTCCATCCTGATTTGTACCCACGGTATGATCCCAGCTACACCAATGTGCTTCACCTCTTACCTACCTGATTTTTAGAGGTCTCTAAAGGTTCTCAGGCTAGAGTTTTCAAAAACAAGTTTCTAAAGTTAGGCTCTGAGTCCCATAAGCAGGCAGTTAAATTAGAGACCTGTTTTTTCCAAAAGTGCTGGGTACTGAGAAGTCAACAGGGGCTGTTGGTGCTCAGCATCTTTGAAAATCAGGTCACTTGTTTACGGCTCTAAATCTGGGCAGAACAGCTCGATTTCAGCCACTCACTCCTGAAAATCTTGGTCCAAAGACACGGGCAGCTGTGTTTTGAATTGTGACATGGAAAAGAATCCATTAGCACTAGGTCTAGGCCACCAGAGCCATTTCCACTTGTTACTTCCCCAGGTTTTAGTTCCTGAGCCATTAACACAGCATGCCAACTACCATCTGATTTTTCATCTTATGAGTGAAAACCTGTATGAGAGTTAACATTTGCTGAGCCTGCCAGGCTGGGGAAAAGTAACCATGTGCTGCATGTGAGAGAAGAGGGTTTTTTAGACCAACATCCCCATCTGAAATATCTCATTATTTCTCTCCTACGGGGTATGGGTTTTTTTATGGTAAGCCATTGTGCCAGTGATTTGTGTGCCTGTTGAAATGACATGCACTACAGTCCCATCCTCCCTTAAGCCCTGTCTGCCAGTGATTCTGATTGAATTGCAGATGATTCAAACTGATCTGAATTGGGGGCACTCTTCAGTCACTCTTTCTTTAACAGTGTGTTCCTGCAGAACCGGAGCAGGAAGTGAATTGGGCAATACTTAAGGGAGACCGGGGGGCAGTAATCAGCAAAAACTCTGTCAAGCAAACATGTTTCCAAAAAAGTGTTGAGTCTCTCTGACCTGGTCACACTTGTTGGTTAGCCAGGTAGGTGTTTGCCACCCCTGACCAGTTAAACACTTGAGTCCAATTTTGCTATGTCATGGCAAAGTAAGTCTGGGGCAATTTGACCAAGATCAATGGACTTTGACTTAGTTGGCCAGCATCTTGATTTACACCAGCAGTATCAGAGCACAGAATCTGGTGAACTAGGCTGGTGCTACATTAACAACATCCTGCTTAAGTGTCCTAAGAAATGGGACATGATGAGTCTGGTGCATCTGTGCTTGGAAGCCTAAGGTTGAACCGTAAACAAAACCAGACAAAATTATTGTATTTCTTAGCTGAAGCATCTGCAGAGGGGTCAGAAAACAGCTAGTCAGACACAGAGGAGAAAAACCAGGAGAAAAAAGATTCTTATGCCACAGGTAAAACCTTCAGGCTTGGTAAGGAGTCACATTCGTATTTCCAGTTTCATCTGTTTATTGATT